TTTCTCCTCCTCCCACCCCAGTTTAGTCCAGTGCATAACAACAGTGAAATATTCCACACTGTTCTCAGCAGTGACAAATGCCCTCAGGCCACAGCTCCACTGGCATTGGTGTCAAACTGAAGCATTTTCAATGGAAAAAGCTCGGTGGAATGGAAGTTTTTAAACTCTGCAGAAGCTTTTTACATAAAGACAGATTTCACACTCATTATAGATTCTTCCAGTATCACTCAGAGTAAGGGCAGTGCTGGCTTTTGAACCAGCTGAGAGAATCTGCTAAGCCTGGACCGACCTTTGATTGTTTTAGCCCTTGTGATTGGTCCACCCTGAGGTGATGAAGATGTTGAGATGTTTGCAGTATCTTCAGGATGTGTGCACACTGGGACTTGTCAGCAGGCATGTGCAGCTTGTTCAGAAGGCCTGAATTAGCTAAAATGCATATATTCATACTAGAACAGAACCAAGATTTTGCTGCTGTCTTGGCTACAGAGCAACTGCGGGAGCTGCAAAGAAACTCTATCAGCATATTTAGAGCATGTGTATTCCACTAAATACAGTGGACCATCCATATGAAGTGCTTGTTATGCAGAAAAATTTGGAAACGTGTAATCAAGGCAACAGCCCTCTGTTACTGCCAACAGTTCAGCATGGAAAAACTGCATAACAGCTGGAAAATAACATTATTTGGGTCATCTCAGAAGCCATACGATTTTGGTAACTTTCTTCAAGAAACCAGGATATTTGTAAGGTGTCAGTGGCCATGAACCTGAAGAAATTATTTGGATGCCATAGGCTCAAAACTCTGTACCAGCTGAAAAACAATGCAAACTTGGGTCCCGCATCCTTTGGCCACAAAGGAAAAAATTCAGTGAAAGTGTATGGTGAGCAACAAAAAACATTCTTCTGTGCAACTATATTTGACTCTATTTTGTCTAATGTGATCAGAACTTCCCAGAAAAATGCAGCACACCCCTCCACTTAGGTTATTGACTAAGGTTATGACTGTACTTACTGGGTCCTATGAGATATGTATTACCAGGCAAAATGGTGTAGTCTTTTATCAGGTTCTGATTTTGTTCCTCACTTATTACAAGTGACTGTTCTAGATAATGCAGTCAAATCCCTTTCTGCTTATCTTGGCATAAGAAATATCTGTGTTTGGATTTATGCCTCAGGATTTAAAAATAACTCTTAGATATCACTCAGCTCCAAATCCTTGCAGGAGAACTGTTGGAGGAAAAGGCTTCTCCAAATAAGAAACTGTCAGCAATAACCTCTGCTGCAGAGGAGATATTTTCCAAAACTAGTGCCCTACAAAACTTGGGTACTTTGAGTCAAGCATCACCTTCAGTCTGCACTTGTCATGCACGACTGGATCATAGCACCCTTTGTTCTAGGGCAAGCCCACAGTCTCTGATATAAGCTGAACTTAAACCTTCTTACTGTAAGCTACATTGATGTTCTGAAAGCTCTGAGATGGATGCTCAGCCTGTATAGCAGCATCCAATCTTCCAAGAGCTGCTTCCATGTCTCAGGGTTTTCTCCCAGTCAGAACAGACAATGTGTATCACTTCCTAGTCCAAAAAAAAGTTACTTCTGTTTGGTGCTGTTATGATTTGAGCCTTGTTTCTTATCCCACCATCTTAAGTTTCCCTCTCTCCAGGTGGCACCATACATGAGTTAAAATGTTGTCTTGGCTTTGCAACACCTCACACGGAGCCTTGTAGGATACATGTGTTAATCTTAGGAAGCAAATGCTCTTCAGTGAGTCCTCAGCTCCTGACAGACCGCATATGAATGACATTAATACTCTGATGAAATTGCAGTAAGAGATTGCTTGAACTGCCCGGTCTCTACCCCTTCCTCATCATTTGCTGTCGGTTGTAGATTACCACGTGTCAGAGCTTGTACAAAGTCCTGTGTGAGCAGATTGCTGAATTCACTGCCATGGGTGTTGCTGTCTGCAGTTACATGCATTCCCACTAGAGCTCATTCCCAGGGATGCTTGGGCACAGTGGGATTCTGTGTCATGATTTGATCTAAGTAAAATGTTTCTATTGTTACCGCCAAATTTTAGCATGGATATTTGTCATTATTCAGTATGTATTCTTTTGTTCTTACTGTGTTTCTGGACTAGCTGGGCTCTGTTTTATTTTCTCAGTGAATCCATAATTTTAATTTAAACTATTACTTTCTTATTAATTCTGATACCTGTTTTTCTTCCACACTGTTTCTGCTTTTATTGAAGCACTTGTTCTTGTGGAATGAGTAATAAAAAGCAAAAACATGTCATCTCTATTAATTAATAGGATCTGTTATCAGCTTGCTTTTCAGGTCTGGTAGGCATCACACAAAAGAGCTCTTTTACTAAATTTGTCAGGAATATTCTGGCATTATTCCTTCTCCTCTGAATGTCCAGTGGTTGACACAGATAATGTTTAGGCCTACTTCATTTAGCTTCAAGAAAATAAACAAGGAAATCAACATTAAGGGTTATGTGATTCCTCATTTCCATGTGAGTGCCAGGGAGCAGTGAAGGACAGCTGCTTCCTGAGGGACAGGGTGTGGGATCCCAACACAGTAACCTGGCCAGAGAGCAGAAACTGGTACCTGGGCTCGTCCCATCCCTAGCCAGGAATAGGGCAGCCCTAGCCCAGGCATCCTGGGAAAAGGATGGACACAACTGGAGCCGGGCCCTGCTGTGGTGTTGCTGGGGCAGTGACTGATGGCTCTGGAAGATTGAAATAGGGTCTTGGACCCTAGGCAGGATGGGGACAGCTCCAGGGTGCTGGGCAGTAGTGAGGCTGGGTAGTGCCCTCAGGACCTGACAGTGAGATCTGAATCCTCTTACTGCCACAGTGTTTATTAAGAATAGAATGAGCTGGTTATAGCAAAAAGTGACAAGAAAGAAAAGCAAGTATGCTCCAGTCAAAAGTCACTGGTTCTGTAACATCCTGTGTTCCCAGACACCATCATTTGACTCTACTGTCTTACTGCACCCGTTTTACTTTGCATATATATACATATATTTAAAGTAGGATACTAGATACACACAGAGAAGTGTTCTCACCATTGGGTGCCTCCTGACCACCAAGCACAGTCACAGTTCCATCCACAGCCTTGGACCTTGTGGTTCTCCTTAGCCCTGCCCCTTAAGGTTTTGATCAGGGCAGTGGGAATCACCATGTTTGGGGAGTGGAGTCAAATGCAGCTTAAGGAAATCTGAACCCTACTGGTTCCTCTTTCAGGAGTGTCATTTCCTGGTTACTCTCTTAGTGTGGGTGTTTCAGATCTGTGCTATCCCAGCACTCAGTCTTTCCCAGTGTTCCTCACACATCTGGGAACCTTGCCTTGGAGGAGTTGGAGAACTAAGTATGAAAAATGTGTTAATATATACCAGTAAGTCGCAGTAAGTCACCTGACAACTGAAATCCTTCCTTCCTTCCTTCCTTCCTTCCTTCCTTCCTTCCTTCCTTCCTTCCTTCCTTCCTTCCTTCCTTCCTTCCTTCCTTCCTTCCTTCCCTCCTTCCTCCCTCCCTCCCTCCCTCCCTCCCCTCCTCCCTTATTTTGACCATTTTTTTCAAGAGAAGTGAGATTGAGAGTTATCCCAGACCTGTTCATTCTTTTCCCTGTCTTCCAGGAAACATAATCTTTAGGTTTTTCTATGTGCTGGACTATGCTTCAGTTACATCAGAAACATTAAATTATTATTATTAACATTTTATAATAATAATTAGTATTTTATGCTGTTTTTGTTATTGTTGTATTTTCTCTGTCTACACTGTTGATAAAGTGAAATCCAACAACTTCTCTTAGCTCTGTCTTAAACCAATAAAGTCAGCTCACTTTCAGGAAGAATTTAGCTTCTAATATTTAACTAGTTTCAACAATTTGTTTTACTTTACACATTGAAACAGTATGAAATTAAACTTTTCTATTTGGCTGTAATGGTAATTTTTTTTTCTCCTCAATTAACCTTCAGTGTGGTATTTGCAAAATTCTGGGGAATTCTGTTATAAGACTGTTTTCTCTTAATTGTTAGTAGTTCTCTTAGTATCTCACCTAATGAGAAAGCTGTGTCCTAGCAATTGATACATAATGTCTGGCCATGAATATTTCAGCCTTACAGACTGAAAATCAGATCCCACAGCAGCAGAGAGGACGTTGTTGCCTATAGCAAAATAAATTATAGTGTTTTGGATCTGATTTCAAAGGTCTGATGGGGATTTTAAGTTAATTTCATTTCACTGTTAATAATGTAGAATGTTTGCACACATAATATTTTTATAAGTTTGGAGGTAACAGGAATTGTAAGATGAGTAATAGTCTTCACTCCCACAAAGGTTTGAGTGAATCCCTTCCATTTTAATTTATTGAAGGACTTCTGTTAGGTGTTTTGGGGAGCAGCTAGGCTATCTGTCTAGCACATCTGTCTTCTTTATGTGCAAGTTGTGATGTAAATTATTTAATGCCTGTGGTACTGTGCACAGGAAAATCGTGATGAACAGTTGCAGAAATTATTGATTAATTGGCTTGCAATCATTTAGATGTTCACTAAGTACCACTGCCAGTACCTTCCATCTCTATCTCTTTTATCCCTGTTTTTTTTTTTTCCTTCTTCAGACTTCTAGTTTGTTACGACCACTTGTTCAATATTGGTGAAAATCACATTTTTAATTCTTTGGGGACTGAAGTCTCTCAGTGTTTCTATATTAATCTTAGCAATTAATAATATTGAGGAGATTGATTACATCTTTTTCTCAGTGGGAAAAGGAGACCAAGAGATAAAAAAAGTTATCAGTTCTGATTAGATTCTGAACATTTGCTGTGAAAATGGACTTGCATAGCAAAGCAAGTCAAAGGAAATGACATCATAGAAGGTTAATGTAGCCTTTTGCTGCTAGTTAATTCAAACTGGTGTTCATTGATCTGGTTCTCTAGCACTGCCTTTCTACTTATTTGCCTCTCTTTGAGCAGGTTTTGTTTGTTTGTGCTTTTTGCAGGTCAGAATTAACTTCCTGCTGTGATGCAGTTCACAATTTTATTGCTTCTCAAAACAACAGCCCACTGGGAAGTAACATGAGTTATGAAGTGGACAGTAAAAAGACTATTCTCATTACACAGGACATTTTTAAGATGCTGCCTGTGGTAAGAACTATATATTTTTCATATTATAATCACAGTATATGTATTTTGGGTTAGTAATTGAGAGACTGTGATTCCTCTGGAAGAGACCCATTAGCCCCTGTATGCACTTCTTTATTTGCCTTGCAAGGTGTTGTTTTGTTGGTTTTTTTCCCCTTCCTCTGCAGTGGTAGAGGTATTTACAGGTATCATAGATCATAGGTTGGAGGTTGAGTTGCTATAGAGCACTGGCTTGGCAGCCAGTTCAGGAGCAAATACTCTGAAAATGTTTGCCTTGCTTTTATCATTCCTGTTTTTAAAGGCATTTCAATCTGGAAGAACGTTTCATATTCCTCATATGCCCATGCCATTTCCAGTGCAGGCTTCCAGTGGGCATGTAAGTTATGAAAGATATTTTGGTGGTAAATCTGATACAGAATAGCATAGAACATAATAGAGTAGAACACAGAAATTTCAGTTGGAAGGGACCCTCAATAATCACATAGTCCAACTGCCTGATGAATTCAGGGCTGACCAAGTTAAAGCAAGTTATCAAGGACAAGGTCTGAATGCCTTTTAAACACTGACACCTGGCACATCAGCCACCTCTCAAGGAAGCCTGTTCCAGCAACTGACCATCCTCTTAGTAAAGAAATGCTTCTTAACATACAGTCTAAACTTCCCCTGGTGCAGCTTGGAACCCTTCTGATGTGTCCTGTCCAGATATAATGGAGAAGAGATCAGCACCTTCCTCTCCCTCAGAGAGCAATGAGATTACCTGTTCTTTTCTCCAAACTACACGAGTCCAAAGCCCTCAGTGACTTTTCATAGGACATTCCTTCCAGCCCTTTCACTAGCTTTGTTACCTGCTAGGGGAGGGTGTTTGCAGCAAGAAGCAAAGGTTGAGAAAAGGAATCAGATTTTGTACCTCAGGATTACAGTAGACATACAAGATCTTGAGACTAGACAAAGAGTTTTTATTTGGTTTATTGAAGCTAAGGACAAATAGGAGCCCTCTTGCCCATCTCTGACATTCTCAATTTGTGAGATCCCAGCTACTATGGGTCTAGTTCTTCCTAACACTGCTCTCAATCAGTCTTTACTGACTTCATTGCAATAGAGGATTGCAATTGTAATTCCAAAATTAAGCTGGAGAAATGAAAAAGTAGTATGCTTTATGTGCACATATACATGCTAAGGTAGCCATAATTGCCTGGTCTTTGTGTTCTCCTAGTATCCTTTCAGAGTTGAACAAAATATTTCAACATGTTGTTCTGTAATATATTGCCAGGCAAATATGATATTTGCCCTTCCCCACACTTTTTGCCTTGTTCATAAGTGTCCCTTCTTGCTTCTCTTTGGGCAAGCTGATGAGAGAAGAGAGAAGGATAATGCTTTCCATAAGCAAGTTTTGACTCACTTTTACAACTGGGTTTAATTTCTGTACTCAAAATATCCCAGCTGTTGGCCTCTGGTAAATGTCAGTGCTCCCACAGCAGAAGATGTTGAGTAAGATGTATGAAAAGTTTCTGAGACTGGGATAACAGCCAGCTATATTAACGTCAGCTTAAATAGCCAACAATTTGCATTAATTTTCTAGGTTGTGAACTGTGCTGGTTCTCAAGTGGATGCACTTAGCTCCCACTCAGCTTCTCCACTGCAAGACAGCAAGCTGTAACAAGAGGAGGAGCAGAGAGGGTGAACAGCCAGGAACAGTAACCTCTTCTGTGTGCCCTCACATTCACAAAGAGTTAAGCCAGGACACATCATTATCCTTTACATATTCAGGTTTCCCTAAATTCATTATTCTGCTTCAAATGTAATTGTGGGATGACAGAAATGAGGACAATTTACAAAGTTACCTTCTATTACCTGAGAAAGTAAATTACTATATGACAACCTCCAGTCTGTTACAGTGCAAAGGAAAATGGGTAACTTTAAACTATCTTCAGTGTAAATTAGTTCCTTAGTTTGTCAAGGTTGCAATCCTCTACTAGGTATTTTTAGTGTTAAGTGTATTTAAAAGGTACCCAGTTTTAACAATTCAGTGTTATTCTCTCAAAGTTCTGATAGCAGAAGTAACAGTTCTCTGTCTATTGGTGCCTACTTTTGGCTCTTGGCTGTCCCGGTCTGGCAGCCCTGTGTGCTAAATGGTGAATGCTTCTACTGGGATTTACCAGTTTAAACCTGCTAGAGCAAATAGACACAAAGAAACAATCAAAACACTTATAAAGAACTGGCTGCATCTTTTTATTTGTTTGCAGTCCTCTCCTCTTTCAGTCTATCCCTTCAAGAACTGTGCTGTGGTTGGAAATGGAGGCATTCTGAAAAATTCCAGCTGTGGAGCTGAAATCGATAGTTCTGACTTTGTGTTCAGGTAAGAGCTGCTTCATTTTCCTGAAGTGTGTCCCCCATTCTAAAAACTTGACAGGATTGGAAGTGTGCCAGTGCCAGTTTGTAGCAATGAGGAAGAATCTTGACAATTTGTTATTTCTGCCTCTTTAAGGATACTTCTGCTTTATAGTTTTCAGAATGCTGCTTTCTAATTAAAGAGCATGCTGGATGATACATGTATAATTTGTGATTGCTGGGTCACCTTGCAGTGATGTGAAATGTGATTATCTGAGAACCTGGCATTTCTGGTTATTTAACATCCTTTAGGAGACTGGTATTAAATGTCATATGTGTATCTCTGGTTTAACAAAGTGTTTACTTAGACATTGTTTGGCTCACCCATGTAGCTACCTAATTGTCCCAATATTTGTTTCATATGTTACTCATTTAAAAAATTAAGCATTTATTTAAGTAGTGTTTTTAATCTCCCTGGACAGACTGGGAGAAAACCAGGCACACTCAGAGTGTAATTTTGCCCACTCTCTCAGTATGTGACTCACAGTTTGTAGTTCATGCAAAGAAACAGAGCAACAGAGGGAAGGTTCTTTTCTCAGTGATGTCCAGTCACACAGCATGCTGGATTTAATTTCCTTTTCTTATTTTTTCCTAAAATTTGAAAAGCTAAAAAAAGAAAAAGTCTTTCCAGTTAGATAAGTGTTTTAATAAAAATGGGAAGTCTCTGTACTAAGATGCTAAACTTAGTAAGGGACTGAATTTAAGAAAATGCTTTCTTTACATTTTATAGAAATCACTGTTTCTGTGATAGGGCAAGTTATGCTGTTGTTAGAAGACACAGTAGAAGACTTTCAGCATTGTTTAGGCAAGAGGAGCAATATTTCCTAGCAGCCAGCACAGGGCATTCATAGACTCCTGAGATTTTGACTGTGCTCCTGGTTTGTGATACGATTTATGAAAATGAGCTCTCTGTGCCCTATTTTAACCATCTGTACAGTAGATTAAGTATCTTTACTAGAAGTGCTGTAAGCCTTATTTAATATTTGTAAAGTGCTTAGACATCCCTGGGAGCTGATGTGAAAGTGTCATTGCACAAGAGAGGAATTTGCAAATAGTAACTGTAAATCATTTCTGGTGCACATCTGTTTAAGCAAATATTTCTCAATTTCAGGTGCAACCTCCCTCCAACCACAGGAAACATTAGCAAAGATGTTGGCAATAAAACAAACCTTGTGACTGTTAATCCAAGTATCATTGCTCAGAAGTGAGTACTGCTGCAAATCTGTTTCTGTGCAATGGTGTATAATTGTTTGACATGATTTAGATTTTCATGGAAATCCATTGGGATACCAGCATTGAGAGCAGTGCATGTAGATTATTTCATTAAGCCTTAGTTTCCATGTGAAATATGTGCTAGTCTAAATGGAAATCTTCTAATCCTGGCCTTTTTTGTAGCATAAAGGAGTCAGCAATACGCAGATTAGCAAGATCCCTTGGCTGATACTAGTCAGCAATTTATGGCAGGGTAAAATCAGTGATTGTTAGCCCAAGCCTCTTCTTTTTCCTCCATGACCCTCATGACCCCAGGCATTTAGAAAGGAATTGTAATCATAAATCAGGACAGGCTGGAAATGTGTGTCTGACTCTCTCAGCAGCACTGTGAGCACGTGTTCCTAGCTAATGGGCTTGGAGGCTGTTCTGATGAAGGCTGTTTCCTGAATGGAGGCCCAGCTTCTCTAATCCATTATTTCAATCCATATGAAAGCTGCTTGCTCACACACTTTTTTCTCAGCAGAGGTGGGGTTTTTTTCACCTTCTTGATGAAAAGAAAATCTAATAAGGCCAGCCTGACTAATCTGACATCTTCAGCAGGCTGGAACTGCAGCTTATCTATGAAAGGATTGCTGTGCCATGTTATTTACTGCTTGCTAATCTCACTGTATTTTATTGTCTGTCATAACTGTGTTGTCAAAAAGACAACATAAGGCAAAGCTTTTTTTTTATTCCTTGAAAGGAAGAAGGAAAAAGTACATTGAGTGCATAGAAATTAATAACAGGCATTTTTCTTTGATTCAGGGATAGAAGTTCATTTTTTGCAATGAGTACTAACTATGTTAATGCTTATCCAAACCTTTTTGACTTCACTCAAGACAAGTTATTGCTTCTCCAAAACTAGATTTAGTTCATTGATGTTAGTGGGGCTGCACAGGGATATGAGGAATGGAAATTGTCCAGTGACTCAGCATCGTTGGTGACTTCTGACCTGATCCACAATTTTTCTGGGCTTAATCAAAGTGTTCTGCCACAGCTGCACTCATTTTTTAGCCAAATCAAGTCACATTAGGGTTAATAGAAGTTACACTGAAGAAAATGGGAGATAAGCCTGTGGGAGGATTAAGTGAGAGTACAAGAGGACTTTTATGATTTTTAAAAAGTATTTATTTAAATATTCAGAGAAAACTGTAAATGCTTTTGAAGAAGCAGGAGGAAGCAGCCTGGTACCATTTAGCAGAACCAAGTTTGTTTCTTCTCTCAGAAGACCTATTCCAACGTTATTCCCTGTAATTTCTAATTCTTTGTTTGCATACTGGCTTAGTCTGATGTTATTATTGTTAAGGTTAATCAGCCTTTGAACTGTGTTTGTCAGGGTGTAAAATGTAGGTGAACTCTCTTGAAGAAAAGCACAGCTCTTATGTGTCCTAATTAAACTGGCCTACACTTCTTACAGTGGCAGGGCTGGAAAGGAGATTGAGACACTGTTGAATTGTCCAGGTTTCTAGCTAAGGAAGAATAGAGATTTGAATTCTGTCCTGGAGGCTCAGTATTTTACAGTGAGTAAAAACAGAGAAAATTCTTGTAGCAGAGCACAGAAATTCACCCTTCAAACACTTTTCCTAGACATGGGCTCAGGCATTTCTTGCTTGTTTAGGCTGTGTGACTCTTGCATGCACATAGGTTCAGAGTCTAAAGGAGGGCCTGAGTCTCTCTCATTCATTTTGTTTCAGAGTCTGGTGGTAATGGCACTTTTCTGGGAAGTAGAAGCTGTAAGTTTAAACCCCTTCTGGTTGAGAAAGGGTGTATCACTCCTTGCACTAGTTCTGCAAGAGGTAGCTTTTCCGTGAATGCTTTGAATGGAAATGGCAGTGGCTGCTATCCTCTGTTTCAAAGTGGTGCATGAAAAGAGGGTTTGAACCTACTTGAGTTGTGAAGGGAAATGAAACCAATTTTTCCAGCTTCTGCTGGAGTTGTAAAATTGAACTCTTGATAGCCTTAAAAAGGTGAAAATAGTGCGCTCAAATAGACAACTACCTACAAAAGAGGACTCAGTCCTTTGAGCTCCAAAAGGGGTGGTCCATATGTTTAGGTGATTCAGAAAATTCAGACCTATAGAGGACATGAGTTGAGTTGCATCACTTCTCAGATAACTTGGGAATTTCACTAGTCAGTGTTTGGGAGCACAGAATTTTGCAGTGGTGAGAGCTAGGACTCTTTGCTCTTTGTTGGTGACTGAAAGAATCTGAGAATAAATCCTTGTCCTTTGTGAAGTTAAAGCTCTAAGTCTTTACAGATCTCCAAGTGTTCCTTTTGTAGTTGAAGGACATAAACAGGGATGCCTGTATTTTTAGCTATTTTAAAAGTACATCCTGCACTTGAGGACACACTAATCTTTAACACTCCAAGACTGCTCACATGCATCCTTGCATTTCCACAAAGGGCAGACACAGAGATTTTGAAGAGAGATTTCTGTATACCTGTTGATGTAAGAAACAAGTTTCACAAAACGCATATGGTATATATTGTAGTGCATGTATTTTTAAACAGAGAAGGTATGAGCACAATATTTTTTTGCATTCTTCCTAATTTCTTGAATTGATCAATTCTGTAAACATGTCCTAGTCTCATTAGCAGTGAATTTGATCTGCTTCAGTATCTCCTGTGTTGCCAGTTCAATCCTATGTAGTGTGTTCTTATTATACAAGAGTCAGATTTTCATAGCTGCACATATGACAACATATAATAGGGTGATGTAAATTTGCAGTGTAGACAGCCTGAACTGCTGCAGCAGAGTTCTTAACATCTTTGCAAGTGCAGTTGTGCTGTTCTGGTCTGTAATGTTTGTATCAATGCTACATTCCATTCCTAAAATGTTGTACTTTGCAGATACAACAAGCTAAATGAAAAGAAGACCGAATTTCTGGAAAACATTGCGGTCTATGGAGATGCTTTTCTTTTACTGCCGGCATTTTCCTTCAGAAGCAACACAGCCACTTCTTTTAAAGTATACCACACTCTGAAAGAGTCCAAAGCAGCCCAAAGGGCAATATTTTTTCACCCCACTTATCTGAAAAGTCTTGCCCAGTTCTGGAGAACTAAGGGTGTGAAGGCCTACCGGTTGTCATCTGGTTTTATGATCACTAGTGCTGCCCTTGAGCTGTGTGAGAATGTGAAGCTCTATGGCTTCTGGCCTTTCTCAAAATCCACAGAGAAGATGCCAATCAGCCACCACTATTATGACAACCAGCTGCCTAAACCAGGTTTCCATGCAATGCCCAAAGAATACAACCAGATCCTTCAGCTTCATGGCAAAGGCATTTTGAAGTTGCAGTTTGGTAAATGTGAATCGGAGTAAAAAGGTAGGTCCCATTCTTACCACATGAAATGTCTTTATTAATGTGCCAAGGGAAACTTGTTTTACGAAGAGTGAAACTGTTCTTTCTTAGAGAGACATTTCTACCTTACTCTCTATGAAAGTTGTATTTCCAAATAAGTGAAAGATTGAATCTTTCTGAATAAATATGTATCACAGAGTTGAGAAATGTCTTCCAGCTGTGAATATTAGAAGGGGAGCATAGCTAAGTACAAATTATCCCCATAAATCATTGTCAATCAGAAGTGTCTCCTTATCTCAGATCCATGTCTCTGCCAACTTATGTTTGGTTTGGTATCAGTTCCTGGGTACCAGCCTCCATTAAGAATTCCTTTATTTATCACACATTGTGATCTTCAGAATGGATAAACATCTTCAGAGATGCCTAATCCTGGCCCAGCCTTTCCATGTGTATAGAGGGAGCAGAGTAAGGATGGGGATTGTTCCATGAAGGGGAAGCAATCATCTCTGGCCTCGTTGTCTCTTGTGAAACGGTAGAGATTGGAGCAGTGTGTGCTCATGGCCCAGGGCTGCAGAGCAGCTTGTGGATGGCAATGACGGAGCTGCCATACACTACAGCAGATCTTGCTCAGCATTTTACCTAGAGGCAGCTCAGAATCTGGGAGTTACAAATATAGGATGAAGTGTCATTCCTTTTCCTTTGTTTTATCTGTCCCAACTCCTTGGAGCTTTACCTTCTGTGTATTGCCTCAGAGAAATGCAGCACAGTCTGGTCTCTGACCTTGAGCCAATTTACTGTGTACACACTAGAGATGACTCTGAAAAGATTTGTCTGCCTGTTTTCAATCTTGATTTGCCCTGTTGAAAAAGTAGGGCCAATTTGTATAAATACTTCTTCATCTTTTAAGCTCAGAAATTCCTGAGCTCACAATACTGTTGTCAGAGTCTCCTTTCACAGACCTCTATTTTTCCAGGGGGTCCAAGTTAATATAATAGTAAGTGATGTGTACAGTAGAACTGCCATTGTATACTATATACTTTAATTGGACTGATGTAATGTCATGACTGTATTGCTCAAGTTAAATAGAGAGCATCATCTTGTTCAAGCCAGAAATTTCAAGCTTAAAAGCTAAGGGCACTTTTCTTCTGGCTAGGTTCTGAAATGAAAATATCCTTTTTTGATATTTAGAAAACATGTTGTCAAAGATATGTTCACACTTACTTTATCATCAGAGAATGCTAAGTTTTAAAATAGCAGATTGTTAGTACCAGGAAGGCACAATTTTGTTCCATTTCAAGGGGTTTTTTAAGAGATAGAAAAATAAATGGCTTTCAGATTATTAAAATAATATAAAACCTGTGAGAAGGGATCTAGAATCCATATAATGAATCCATTCTCCTTGTCCATGGCAGGGGATTACCTAGGAGGAATTGAATTGTATATATAAGGGCTTGCATTTTTTGCTTGTAAAAGGTTGCAGTGTATTGGAAAGGTTAACACATACATAATGTATTTTTTCTTAGTGGCTAAGCTGTTTATATCCAGCAGTTTCCATTGTATTTGTTATTCCAATAATATAAATTGTTGGAGACGTACTGTGTAATTTTAATTGTAGTAACTACATGAGATAAGAAAATGAAAGCCAGCTCCTTAGAAATATTTACTCTAGAGAGAAGATAGAAGGCACAGAAATGTTTAAGTATCTGTATGTGTTAATTAAATGCTGTCCATGCTTGATCCACTGAAAACCACTTGTGGCCAAATTTGTCAAATAAGCTGTAAAGAAAAAAAACACAAGAAGAATAAGTTGTGCTGCCCCATTTACACTTACATTTACAAAGAGAAAACCAAATAAATACTTTCAGTATGAGCTACCATTCTGCTAGTATTAGCAACTATTAGAGATAAATGAAATTCTGTAATGAGTATATTTTATTGAAGATGACCTTTTCTAAAAATTCAACAGTCTCCTTTCTCTTTTCAGTTTCCATTTTATGTTCTTCTCCACGCTCTGTGTTCTTTCCTCTTAGTGGGTAGCTGTAGGTTCCTTACACCAGTGGGTGCCCACAGAAGGCTCAGGCAGAACCTCCCACACACATTCCTGGGACACAAAAGTTTGCTGCTGTACATGAGAAGTGAAGAAGGCTTCTCTGCTGGGAGCACCTACAGGGAGAATAAAATTGCATCCCAGTGAATAATTTTTGGCAGTTTTGCTCCTAAACACCATCCTTGCCAGTGGAATTTTTTTTTTCCTTAATATCCTCTCCTGTACCTTTATGATTATGTCCAACAGACATGTACAGGTCATGGCTAAAGTCAGTGCCCACCTATCACAGAGGGTCAAGCAGAAAATGCAGCAACAGCAAAATCTTGAAATATAATTAATGGTCTTTATTATTTTGTATTAGATTATGAAATAATTTTTGCTATGCAGCTGAAGGAAGTCTTATTTGTTCATTGGTTTAACCTGATAAGGGCATGTCATTAGCTTCAAGTAAATGTAGGTTCAAGGAGGGGAAATGACCTAATTCATATTTAAAAATAGAAAAAAAATGTGATTAGAAAAATTGTCAGATGATAAATTAATCAGACTGGCATAAATTTGATTGCCCAGAAGCCTGGTTAAAATGCAAATTTTGTCTGACCGAGAATCCATCAGGTTTTCTGTTTGCTAGGAAAGACAGCAGGGCAGATGAGTATGTGTTGCTTTGACATACAAAACAGTAGCTTTAAGCATCTGCTCAGAGGAGTCACTCAAGACAAAAAAAAAACATAGAAGGGAAGAATGAAACTGAGCCTCTGAGCTGGGGAAGAAAATAGTGCTCAATTGTCTGAGCAGAAGGACTGAGGAAAGAGGGCTTGAGCAGAGGTGTGCAGGTGATTAGGAGGTAAGAACTGCTGAACTCTCCTCCACATATCTTACCTGGAAAGTTTAAAGTAGGTATGAGTTCTTTAACTCCAACCAAACAATTAAATGTGATCTGTTTCTGACAGAGAGCAGTAGTGACTCCCTCCACTCAAGGTGGAGCTGCCAGAGCAGCATCCTCTAAAGCAAGGGGATGCCTGCTTACTTTCTCAGCAGCTAACATCAAAAAGAATAATTTTTTTCCCAAACTCTGTCAGCATGTGATATTTTTTAATCTTGAAATTTACTGCAATCCAAGTGATAAATAGTGTTGCACATAACCTATTCATAACTGTAGAATGCCAACATGAGCTTAAATTCTGTTGAAATTCTTTTGTGCTTGTGGTGTCCCAGTGTAGCTAGAGAAATATGAACTAACCCACAGTTCAGTTATAATTACCTTGAGCAAAATGATACCACATTTTAAAATAAGGACACCTCTGAATTCCTGCCAAGCAGTCAAATTGCAGACTGTTCCTGACTTGGGCAAATATTATCCAATGTGAAATTAGTAGATATTAAAAGAAAGGTTTTGTGCCTTAGAACACCTGCAGTACAGCTTTTAAGCACACACTTCGGTCATGCATTAGGTGAATTAAATTTACATTATAAGAATAATGTCAATAATGAAACAAGTGGAGATAAATTGTTTCTGGTTTAGTTAAAACCTATCAGAATAGAAAAGTATAGATTAAATCAAATGAGAATTTATGTTAGATTTCAATTCAAATTAGTAAGTATTTACATTTCTAGAAGGGTTTTGTTTTGGTTTTCCACAGCAGAACTATCCTGTTGAGGAAACAGAATAATTGCAATCTCTGGTGATTTCAAAATATGAGTAAGATAATATAATTTAGAACATATCCGTATTCGAATTAGCAATGGATGTGTCCTTGGTTAGCTTAGGAAGCCTGAAGAGAGTGGAGCAGCTGGGATAAGTGTGAGTGGTTCTGAGGGTATCCAAATGAAGGAGTCCTCCTTTAGAAAGAGCCAGTGCTTGAGTTAGACCAGGCATAGGCATTCCAGCTTAGCCAGGGGAATTCTGAGAGCCTGGGATTCTGTATTGTAGATCTCACAGACTCAGCCTGAGATACAGATGAAAAGCTAATGCAGAAGGTGCAATGCATACAAAGAATAAACTGTTGTCTTATTTCAAGTATAACAAGCAGGTTTTTCTACTGAAAAGGGAATACCAATAACATATTGTATTGTTTTAATTTCAGGGTGATGATCCTAAGGAGACAATTTGTGTATATTCCAGCAGTTCGGTCTTGGATTTGATCTGATGTGATTTTGTGAGCATTAAACTGCATATAATACAGTTCTACAATAGTGCTACAATAGAGAAATATTTTACGCTTGGGAAGAAAAGGGAGTGATTTTTTCACACAGTGACTGCTACATTTAAAAAGTTTTGAGTGATCATTTTTTAAAATACAAAGCAACAATTATTTGAAAAATTCTGAAATTCCTTTCTGCTGGTTTAATGGTAGCAAAGCACAATCTCAGGATGGTGGCAATATGTGACATTCATCATGTTTTGCTTCTAGAGGATCATTAAAATATTTTGACATAAGATCTCTGGTTTTGTTGATATCACAGTATAGGCAATAGTCTCTGTATGGTGGCTGCATGAGTTGGCAGTGAACGTTTTCAATTAAGAACTTCATCCTGTAAATACTGGCATTTTTCTACATGAGAGAAGTGATGAGAAGAGCTGCAGAGGAATAATTAATTCAGAGCCATGTCATTCTTAGTTTGTCCCAGGGTGCACAGATGAGAAAATCCCTCAGGTCAGAGGTAGTTAAGTGGTTTATGGGCTTTCATTCTGTGGGCAGTAAGTAGTGCTGTGGATTTAATGGGCTTTCATTTTGTGAGCAATAGATGATGCTGTGGATTTAATGGGATCACTCATATGAGTGATGTTAATTCTGAGAACACATACATGAAAAACCAGAGCTTTATAATTATTTATAAACCACTCTGCTTGCTTATGTTCCTGTCTAAGGTCCTGTTCAGCTCCAAATGAGGACTGTGAACCTCAGTTCCACACTACAGTCCCCAGAGTCCTGGTAGGGCATGACTTTGCACACATTATTGCTATTCTAGTTCTGTGTCTTGGCTCATACATGAGATGGAATTTCCATTAGAAAGATGATGGGTACCAAGCCTATAATTCAATTTCTTTTCATGTAATAAAGCTTGTATTCATATGTGACTACAGACAGTGAAACTGCACTAAGCATTATTAGAAGAATGTTCCTCTTGCCATCAACCCCAAGCTCCTCTACACCAGGATGTATGAGAAAACTGACTACATTCAATATATTCAATGACTATATCCAATTTATAACCTGTGCGTAGTTCTTTAAGTTTTCCATATGGTCCAAGAATACATGTGGAGCAACATCCTGCAGCAAGAGAAAGTGAAATATCAGCCCAGTGGAAAGAATCCTTTTAACATTTACAGGAGCTTTGACAAGCAGTTGTACCCTAACTATTACTGCTTATATGCTTATACATTCTACTGCAGAAAAAGAAACCCAATCAAGCAAGCAAACAAAATTTAAAAATTGTAATAACCAGATTCTGATAAGAGTTTCACTGACTCTTTTGAGAGTCTGAATGGTCAGTTCAAAGATAGAGTGTCCTTCTTTTACACTCAGATACCATCAAGTATTTTGTTTAGTAAAATTCCTTTTGCTGCTGCAACATTAAATCCCAAATCAACTGATTTAAAGAGCATTCAGTATTCCACTCATTGAGGATTATATCTGCAAAAAAAAAATCCTACTTAAATGAATTGGACCTTACAAAACAAGGTTCAGAAAAGCCTTTTAAATTTATACTTTGTAAGAGCATTACTGTATTGTAATGCAGTAATGCTTACCTTGCAGCAGTTTTATAATCACATAAACACTCCTGGAAGTATTAGAATCAATCATTGTGGTTACAGGTCTGTTGATTGAGACACATTCAGCATCTGGATCCATTTCCAGGAATAATGATATCAGAATCCAGTATTACTCCTACCCAAGCAGAAGTGTGCATAAATTCTGACTGCAAATATGAGCAATAAAGTCCATTTTTGAAAATAAGGGTAAAAATACATAATGCTTTGAGGCAATAACTGATGCCACTAATACACATGTAGACCTCTGAGCGTCAGTAGAGCTTTGAACAGAAACAAAGACAGCAGAATTGAGCTGATGAGTCTCTCTGCATTACCAGCTGGTAACTGGAAGAGGGGAGCACAGGGGTTTGATTTTTTGTGATCTGTTCTAGTTACAACATCACAATCCACAGTTTTTGTTCCCCAGCTGTGAGATTTTTACCATTTTCTGACCACAGTATCTGCTGCTCATGTACAGAGAGCTGGCTGCTGAAAGAACCTGCACCCACATTATGAGTGTTATGGATGATTGCCTATTGCAACATCCTAGTTATAGATCAAAGACAAATTTGCTCACAAAAGAGCAGCTCCTCTGCTATAAATCACTCACGTGGAGTGTTTTTAATAGAAGCTGTGCAAAGTGATGTATTTGTCCTTTGGGTGATGCAAACAGCTGAGGTTGAGGGCAGTCTTGCTGCGTTTCATCCAGGCAGACAAAGGCACACCTGTGTTCATGTGAGGACTGTAACATACTCCAGTCTAGTGTAGAGCAGTGGGGTGATCTTGGCTGTGTAGCAGCTACATGGTTTGTCTTGGGGGAAGTTCATACATCTTTTGCAGGTTCTTCCATAGTATCCAGAACAATTGCAGTGCTCTGTGTGCACAGAGATAATGCAAGATCATTCTTTGCTCAGACTAAATTCAATTAACTATTCAGCCTGAGTAAGGGGCAAAAACTGGTTGAGTGAAGTAGAGGATGGGGAGAGGAGAAAATTAAATTTATTTGCAGCAACTTTTTTCAAAAGCATTTGTTAGTTAGTTCCATGTGGCACTGTCTCAGAATAAATGTAAACAGTGTACCATGACACACCACAAAGCTGAAGTTACTGTGTGTCAGAACTATTTCTGTGCAGCTACATTATTTGAAAAACATGTGTATTAATGTTACTGGAAAGATCATCGAATACATTTTAAGAGAGATTTAGCCAAAAAGAGGAAATCTGTTCTGGCTTCCTTGATGAAAAGCAGTCTTAACTGAAGGGATGTGATGTAGCACTCACAACTGAGAGCAAATGGAAATTTCTATAGTATGGACAGCCACTGACTTTTTAGCACTGTTTCCATGAAGTTTTAATTTGCCAATGACTTGAAGACCTGCTCCTCCACGCTCTCAAAGCTCTCAGTGATTTATATGGACCACAGGGCTGATAAGAAATGCTTGAAGGAATTGTTGACCTTTCTTGCCCTCTCCTACAAATGCTCTTAACTTTCCATAGACTAAAAATATACTATATTAGACTTCAGATTAAGGTCCTCAGGCCTTGCTCCAGACCTGCAGTTAGTATGAGATGTTAGTTGCATCCACTTCACTCTGCAGGAGGGCAGACATTGTGCTCAGCTTTATTACAGCTACTGGTGCTGGGCGGCTGGGTTGTGTTAATTCGGACGCAGGCTGGGCAAGTTAATAGTGGCATTTCTGCAGCACAGGGTAACATCAGATTGATGAAGATTTGCTGAAGTACACTCACTGTGGAAAGTGATGTTGTCTTGGGTAGCTGAATACATAGTTCTCATTTATTTTACACCTGTGCCAGGTTAATAATAATAAATGGATTTTGTACCTGGCTGGGAATGTTTATGCCACTTTTGCAAGATTGAGCCAATGTCAGTTTGGATTAAGGATTCTTGACCAAAGGTTAGTAAGGGCTTTTCAACTCCCTCTATTTCACATCAGGAATATTAATTTTTAGGTTTTGTGGACCTCCAGTGCTGTCACATGCTGTGGAATGAATGTTGAGATTAAATAGTTTTCTAAAGATAGAAACACTGACAGTGTGCTAATATTTCCACTGTACCTTTGCAGAAGCTGACAGTGTCCTTGCACGACTGCATCACAGCAGCATTAGATTAAAGCCTGCCTGGCTGCTTTTATTCCTTTTTCTCTTCTGAATCTCTAATGTTGCATCCTCCTTCAGGATTCAGTGCTGCCTTGAGTTGGTTATTTGTCTCTTTGCCCTGTGGAGTGCTATGCAGCCCTGTTTAGTGTCTTAAGGAGTTTGTGTGACTGTGAGTCAAACACTGCTATGCTTGCAGCATAGTAAAACATGCTGTAAATGACTGGGCTTACACCTCAAGGAAGGCAGCTTGGTGTGATACTCACATTGCCTGACTGGAGGTGCTGAAGTTGGTCTGTAGCTCCATGGTGACTTCAGCTGGAATGGCTGCAAGGTCCAGTCCCTGTTCTTGTGCTGCCCCCCTCCCTGCATGCCCTGTCTGGCCTCAGCCTGTCCCACACCAAGCTCTTTGGGCACTCTGAGATGGTGAAACCCTACCATGGCAACAGAATGAGAAAATTGGTTCATGCCAAGAGACAGGGGAATTTCACAGTCAAAGCAAAGGAGGGGGTAAGGCCATGCAGGTGGGACTGTAGGGACACAGCAGGTGCCTTTTGTTATCCGACAGCTGGGACAGACCCAGTGGTCCCCAAAAGCTTGACTAGGTTCAGAAGGTGACATCTCTGAGGGTCTGCCTGGTCAGAAGGGAGAGATGGGCCCTGCAAGAGGGATTGGCAGCACTGCAGCTGTTCTGGTGGGTCAGAGCCCATCTTACCCTGTGGTGCCAGAAGGTGCTTAAGGCATCTACACTAAAGACTCCAGGTGCTGATTATTGCTCACCCTTCTCTCTTTCCCATTACAGTCATTTTAACAAGCTGGTGACCCCAGCAGATTCAGAAATGACAAGCAGAAAAAATTCTCAGTTCACTGATCATAAACTTGCATAAAATTGCTTGTTATTCAGCATTCCTTTGTGTTCAGCCTCTTCTAATCCCAGCATCTAAAACAGCATCTGCAGAGAACAGAGATGAATGAGGCCTGAGGGGGTTGAGACCAGCTACTCTCACTTCGATTCTCTTTCCTTTGTTCAGTAGGGAGACAACTGACATACCATCATGCTTGTCAAAAGATGAAATTGTCTGTCTTGAGTGACTCAGGAAAAGAAACTAAATTATCTAGGTGACTTCTGACCTTCTGTGGCTCTCTAAATTACTAGGAAAATATTCCTGTTGTTAGGTATTAGTTGATTTTATTTAGTGCAAATATCTGGATCAGTTAATTAATCTGGGTTAATTGAGCATGTACACCTTGAGCCTGCACAGACTCCATGGTGGAGCTGCAGCCTGACACAGCAATCTAGGTTTAGATCCATTTGACCTACAGATCTTGTTTTGTCCTGTAACTTGCTCTCCTGTGACAGATTTGTGGAGGGAGGTTCTGAATATCCAGGCAGTAGGTCCTCCAGGAACACTCAGGTCCACAAAGCAGACGTCCATCGGTATACAGGAGTCTGTGAGATTCAACCCAAGGAATATTCCGTGGAGTGCTTTATTCTGCAACAGCTCTAACTCAAACAGCTGATAGCCACTTGCTGCATGCCCTGAAGCAGTAGATTTCTTGCACATGAGCCTTTAGTTAAACATATCTTAGTTGAAAATAATTAAAGCTAAGTAATTCTTCGTCTTGTGGTATTGCAGCAGCAAAGCTCTTTAATCTCTAGGTCTGCTAGCCAACAACAGTGACAAGGGGGCATGCAGTTAGTTTAGAAGGCCCAACTCTTTATTTTGAATTCTCTTACTTTAGGCAGGACCATCCTTCTTTGAGTTTCTGGACAGAAAAATTTCAAATGCAGCTAGTCTCTCAGGGTACTCTGGGGAAATCCTTAAGGCTTTTCACCCACAGCATACAAGAAGTGGGCAGATTTATATTTATTAACCTTTGTTCTAGATTCTCATAAAGTATTTAATTGGCTTGAAATTATCATTATGATCAAGTAGAGCAGAAACACTCTGCAGCATGCCACTGAACAAAGGGACTGTTGCTGTTATCTGGTGGTCTCCTTTCATAAGGGCACATTTCAGAATACCTTCCTATTCTGGGAACATGGCTCAGCAGGGGAGTGACCCGGGGTTACTGGGTTACAGCTACAGGGGTAAGTGTCAGTGTGCTCTCGGTGTCGAGATTCCAGCAGTGCAGCAAGAGCTTAACACGATGGGAGAACTTCAGCTTGAGTTTGCCCTGGAGCAAGGAGTGAGTGTAGTACTGTGGTGTGTGGTGATTGAGCTCACATCACTCTGAGCACGGGCAATAACAGCCCTTGGGCGCCAGGTGTTGGCAGATACTGGTTTAAGGATGAAAACAGTCTGGCTGTGACTGGAGCCAGCATCCTCACATTGCCATCAAAAGAACATTCAAGTCTGTCTTTTGTTAAATCCTGGTGTACCTTCAGCAATACATGAGTGTTTGTTGCTGCACCTGGTACTTCTGTGTCTTTGTTTCATCCCTCTTTTCTCCAGTGAGGGAGAAAACTCACAGTGTAGGATGGAAGTATTTAATGATCCCATCATGGTTTCAAGGCAAGAGCCCATCAGAATGAATCATGCAAATGGTTGTGACAGGATAGCCTATTGTCAGTATTGCTGGGTTTAAATTCCTCACTGTTCACTTTAGTCCCTGACAAGAGGAGATTCTTCACAGCAAGTCTGTAGGCCAGCAACATGCTAGGCTTCTCACCTCTTGGCTCAGCTGTGAGATGTGTCCCTAAAAACACTTCCTCCGTGGTCTATTTATTGCCAGTGTTTACAATACAAACTCATTCTTGAAATCTTGCGACATTGAAGTACAACAGCTGACATTTCTGCATTTTTATATGTACTGTTTATATAGTAGATTCATATGTATTCTTTAAGTTAATATTTGTGATATTTTTTGAGTACCTAATTAAAATAATTTTAAATATTATTCTTGTTTAATGCCACCAGAGTAAAGTGTGTGGGAAGTTACATAATGCCACCTAAAAAACAGTCACACAAGCCAAAATAATTTTAAGGGTATTTGACTGATTTCTGGAGGAGTATTTTTGTTAGTCATTTGGACACTTGCATCTTAGATTTACCTTTCTAAAATAGGCCTAAGAGGCAACCTCTGCTTCTGGTTTAGTTCCAGATCTGCAAGGGACAAAACAGGTAAATGGAGAGGTCCTACACAGGGCTGCTCCTCAGCAATGGCAAATGTGTGGCTTTTCAGACTGGTCCATGTGCCAAAATGTAATTTCATAAAGTTACCATGATAGCTTTTGCCCACAGGTTTCATTGTCTCTTAAAATGTGTATTGTTTGCATTCATTTCAGCTCCATTCTTTGCAATGCAATTGTCAAAGCAGAGCTTACTCTCCCGTGGGGCTGGTATAATTGTGCTCCTCCACATGCACCAAGCTCTCTGAAGCTGCTAGTGTAGGCTCTGCTACTGCTGTTCCAAAAAGGTTCCTCAGATTCTCTCAGTGCTGAATTTATTTATGTTTTCAGATGTGAACTTGATATTGTCTGAGTAGAATGTGTGCAGCATAGCATAAAAATGTCTCTGCGCAGGGCTTAGGAGGAGGCAGGAGCCCCTCAGCCATGTGTGTGCTTTTATTACAGAAAACCAAGATGAAGTTGTATTGTTGAGTCATCTGTTACAGCTGGTTTAGTTTGTACTTTGTTTTCCTGTTTTAAGTGCCTGATGATTTTTTTGTCAAGGAGGCAATGGTTTCATTGTTATAAGGCATACTTAGAAATCTGTACTTGTTACCTGTTCTGTAATAGAATATTTTTGC